CGGGCGCGATGAGCGTCGTGCCACCTGACCCGAGACGGGTCGCAGGCGTCGTACTGAGCGCGTCGAGACCGTGTCCTGATGTGATCTGCACGGGTGAGTCACTTCGGGGTCAAAGGAGCGACGTGCGACCTGTCAGAGCTTGCTCTCCGATCTCAGCGGCGTCGAGTCGTCTCCGGCGGCGACAATTCGGTACCTCCCCAGGACGCGCAGAGGCAGCTGCGACCCCGCCGAGTGGTCAGTGGAGGGCGGCACACCGCGCCACCTGCTGTGTGCCGCCGTCTACTCGGCGGGGTCGCAGCTTCCTCTGGAAGGCACCGAGAGGTACCAAATGGCGCAAATGACCAAAATATCAAGATTGTGTAACGCGAGCTGTGCCACATTGAAATGGAACTAGCCACACACCCCTCACCCGGGGACAGTGTGACAGTCCTTCTCTATCTCCGAAAGGCGAAAGCGGAGGGAAAACCAACGCGGTACCAAAAAAATAGGTGCGGAGCGCAAATACGATACCAAAACCCCCGGGAAGCGGGATCCGATCGCGACATCAGAGACCTTCCAAAGGTATCCACTCGCGCTCGAGCGCCTGGGAACCCCCCCCTCTCTGCTCTCTCCCTCTCTCTCCCTCATTCTCTTCCAGTGCCGCCCCGGCTCGGAAGACAGGACACACGCCGACAGGAAATGGTCACGCATAGTGAGTGTGTGGGGCTGGAGCTGCGGGAGTCTCCCCCCCCCCCCCCTCCCCCCCTCCCCCCCCGGCGGCGCCAGCCGCATCATGGCCGCGCCGGCGTCGGGGGGGGCGCTAGGGCGCCAGCGCCGCAGTCTCCTCCAACATGGCCACGTCGTCGGCAGCGACGGCGGTAGTGGAGCCGTGCGGCTCTTGGGGCGGGGGCGCGTCGCCCGCCGGCGATGCAAAGTAAAAGGACGGGAAGGCGAGGTGGTTTGGGTTGCTGGTCGCGGGCCGCGGCGACGCGAAGACGAGGTCGATCCGCGCGCCTGCGAGATATGGCCGAGATATGGGGAGATATGCCGAGATTACGCCGAGATGTGTGGCCCACTCCGCCTCCTGCCGCCGACATGTCGTGTCAGGCCCAGAGTGCCGGGAGACACCGGGAGACAGCCCAGAGTGCCGAGAGACACCGGGACACCGGGACACCGAGAGGTGCCGAGAGTGCCGAGAGGTGCCGAGAGCACCGAGTCGCTCCGCGCGCGCCGACACGGCTCCTTTTGGACCGCGCGTTCTCCCCCTATCTCCCCCTATCTCCCCCTATC